AGGACTTGGAGGCGGTCTTGGAGGACTTGGAGGCGGTCTTGGAGGACTTGGAGGCGGTCTTGGAGGACTTGGAGGCGGTCTTGGAGGAGTAGGCGGTCTTGGAGGACTTGGAGGTGCCCTCGGCCTCGGTCTGGGCCAGTCCATCCTACCCTACGCCCCGAACTACCGCAGAGGCCTCTACTCACGGAATCGCCGAACTGTTTTCTGATTCGTTCCTCCGATCGCTTTCACATTGTAGACCTAGAATAATTTTTTTCGAGGCAAACGTCCTTGGTAGACACGGTCAGTCTTCCTGGTGAAGGCATTCAAGATTTAGCCAATAAAGCGATTCAAGGAAGTCCCGTGTCGCTTCACTCAACTCCATATTTCTTCTAGCCACGTAAAGTCACATACCCCATGAAGCGATGTAACCATTAAGTCTTGTAACGATGAAGCCATGTAGCCATTAAGCCTTGTAACCATTAGGCCATTTTTTATATTAAGCCATGTATCCATTAAGCAATTTTTTCCTATCAAGCCATGTACCCATTATCAAACCCACTGTCGAAAGTTAAAAACCCAAAAACCACTCTCCGTGTTTCCACCACACAGTAAAGCCGTCTAAGGAAGAGAGACAGACTTGGTGAAAGGCTCGGCATAACGATAGCGCGCGGGCGAAGGTCCATCTCGACCTTGCCATCAGAACGCGCCGAACACGGTCGACTCTCGACGACTCGCCCGACGGACTCCTCGGAGGAATGGACTCCTCGGGCGAGAATCCGAAAATCTCGAATTTTCGCCAACTCGAATTTCCCTGGAGCTTCGAGTTATCGAGAGTCGACCATGCATGACCGTGCATGACCGTGCATCGGCATGCATCAGATGGCATCGCAGAAGTATCGACCCCAGCTGCTTCGCGGGGAAAACCATGAACACGACTCCTTTCTTTCTTCCTGCAAGAAGTGAAAATAAAAAATAAAAAGTCGATGAACCAACCGATTACCGCAGCTCCCACGGATCTCACTGACCGGATTCGCGAAACCACCTGTCGAAATCGCGTTCTTTTTTTTTTTTACACCTGTTGCGTTGCCTCACCGGGAAACGCAGACCTCGCGATATTTTCCAACACCGAGGCGCCGATCGAGTCATTACCGCTTCCGAGAATTTCTTTCGGCTCGGCAGTCCCTCGATCTGATCTGAAAATGGCATGTCCCAAACTGCTTTTCCAGAATCCACGACAACTTGAGAACGGAGGCAACATGGAGTAACCAAAACCATACACGGTTTTCTTTGCCACATTTTCCCGCAATTTTGCATAGCTATCAAAACTCGATATCTGAATCTCCCTGATAGCAAGTCGGCCTTCATGCAAGCCGAAAGTGCAAAGTGAATTCTTTTCCATCTGAAGTTCGAAAACAGTGTTGGACTGAAACTTTGTTCAAAATGAAGACCGATCCCAGGAACTCGTTCACGAACGAGCCCAAAGACGAGAAGAAACCTCCACGGAACACCGAAAACACCCCACCTCATGGGCTGCGGGAACTGCGCATTGGTGACCAGGAAGGACGAGATCCGCCTCCGATGCAGGAGCCGGAGGAAAGCATCGATGTGCGGGTACATGATGGGCTCCCCGACCAGGGACAGCGCGCAGTGCTTCGCCGCCAGTCCCTCCTCCATCCGCTCCGCCTTCACGCCGGGCACCCCTGTTCGCATCCACATCCATCAAATCCCAATCGCTTATATGCAAATGAAGCTTGTGATTAGAGCTCCAAGTTGAGGTCGAACATTATTTTCCATACATACATAATTTAGGCATTAAAAAAATAACACTTCTAGAGGAAATGTGGCACTCCTTGCCAATGGGTCCAATTTTCATCAGTATTACAGCTCATCATTTAACAAATTAAGAAATGATCTACCTGTAGACACCCGGAAGAGATATAAGTAGGCGAAAATTCATTATCCAAGAAATGTAGACTCTAAGGACCAAGGCTCCTCATTCCATCAGACCAAATTCAGCATTATCCCAATTCATCAAACTGTAGAAATGTTTTACTGCTTGAATAAACGTTCCGGGGCATTAGGAAAATTAATCTGCATACAAATTCATTCTGCAGACAGCCAATGTCTGCCAATATTTTTCATATTTTTGAATTGGTTCAAATATGAATAAACATCTGCTGATAAATTCAGCATGTGATGCCTGAAGCCAACAGTAAGGTTTCCAGGAAAAAAAATTCTACCACTGCCTGATGGTTGCTGAAGGATCTTTCTTTGTGCCTTTCAGTACCAGACACAGAAGGCAAACAGATGAAGAGACCTCTTTCTACGATCGCTGGCCAGAGTTTCACCAGCTTGCCATCGATTAGACACATCTCCATGCAATCGTTATCTATCAGACATTTGCACACTACATGTTGAAGACTTAAAAACGGAACGGTCGGAAGCGATGTCTGGAAACTTGACGGCCTAGTCCGGCATCACCACGACGTCGCGCAGCGACTCCTACAGGAGCCCCAGCAGGCAGAAGGTCGCGGTGAGCCAGGGCTGCCCCAAGCTCACCACCGCGGTCGTCTTCACGCACTTGTTGGCGCAGGCCAGGCTGGGCGTGGCCTCCATGCACCGGTGGCTCTCGATCCCGTAGAACGTGTGCTTGTAGCATCCGCCCCGACCGCGCAGCATCGACTGGGAGACGCGTCGCAGAGGATTCGTGGCGTATTGCATCGTGTGAGAGTGCAAACGTAAATTTCAGACCCTGATACCAATTCAAAAAATGCTGACATGTTCTACTATTCCATGTTTCACTTGCCACCAGATGGGGCTTTTTGCTTAAATTAGCAGTAATTTTGCATCGTGTGAGAGTGCAAACGTAAATTTCAGACCCTGATACCAATTCAAAAAATGCTGACATGTTCTACTATTCCATGTTTCACTTGCCACCAGATGGGGCTTTTTGCTTAAATTAGCAGTAATATGTTGAACTTTACAGACACCTGACAGAATTTTCATCTCCACGAGTTGGAATACCTCTCCTTTCACGTGTCTGTACGTTCGAGGGGTTGCCGAAAAGTTCCGAGCCAAAGGCCCTTGCCGTTGTAATACGCCATTCTTACCCTTCTCATGGGAAGGAAGATGCCTTTGATGGCGACCATCGAAATGTTGCTTTACTTGTCAATTAAAGAAAGCTTTTAGGAATTTCTTTCAACATGCAGCCTAAAGGTTTGTTGAAGGGTTAATACATTTTGGGATGAATGCCGTCATGTATTTCCTAGCTTCTATGTAGCTGATCTCCAAGCAGACCTTTCAGAGAAAGGTCAGTAGGACTACTTCTCTCGGCTGCTTAATCTCATGTTCCTTTCTCTCTTTTCATGGGTTGGTGAAGTACATCGACATTGGTATCGAAAACCTGCCTATTGTCAGCAGTTTAGACGATGCCCTATCGGTAGCTGGTTTTAGTGGCTGCCAATACATAAGCACAACCCTTATGATGTCATAATTTCAACTGCATAGGAATATTTCTTCAAAGTAAGCCTCTAAACAAAGAGGCAAGCAAACCTTGGTCCAGGGACACATCTTCACCCCAGAGTGGGTGCCAACCAGCCGGTAGCCCTGCTTGGAGAGTGCCTCCCTCAGATCCGGGGTGAAAAGTAAAAAAAAAAGTCGATAAATGAACCGATCACCCCAGCTCCCACGGATTTCATCGGCCGGATTGGCGAAACCACCTGTCGAAATCGCGTTCTTTTTTTTTTTTTTACACCATGTCGCATTGCCTCAACGAGAAAAACTGACCTCGCGATACTTTCCAACACCTAGGCGCAGATGAAGTCATGGTAGCAACCACAGCGGCATTAAAGCTTCCGAGAATTTCTTTCGGCTCGGAAGTCCCTTGGTCCGATCAGAAAATTTCATGTCCCAAACTGCTTTTCCAGAATACACGACAACATGAGAACAGAGTCAACATGGAGGAACCAAAACCACAATGCAACCGTGTAAAATTTTCATCGAGACGATTTTAAATAGACGGTTTTCTTTGCCCCATTTTCCCGCAATTTTGCAAAGCAATCAAAACTCGACATCTCATTATCTCAGATAGTAAGCCATAGGCCATCATGGAAGCTGAAAGTGCACGAATGTATCAGAGTCCATGAACGCATCAGGTATTGTCCAAAGGCATCATGTACCGGCTGAATGCGCCAGGCTCTATGCTGAATGCATCAGACTGTAAAACATGCTTTCCTCCACTAACTCTCTTCCCTCAGGCGAGAGCTGACCTCGGTCCCTCTGCCAACCCCAAGAGGGCATCCTCAAACGACTTGCACCTGCGAAAATCCACCGACACTCCACCGGATCCCCCGATTCAAAATCAACACGAAAGGGACAACCAAAATAAGTCATATTTCTCACAACTATCGAGGTCACCATCTCCAAACATTGAAGTCGAGGGGGGGAACGCTACAGGCTACACGAGGCAGGCGTCCCCAGCCGCTACCGTCGGCCGACACGCCACAAGGAGGGCGACGTCGTCGTCCATCGGATTCAGCAGCCTCCGTCCTTCGGCCTCTGGCCCTTGCCCTTGCCCTTTCCTCGGTGGCGCGTCTCCCGCGGGTCGAAGCCCCTCTCCGCCGACGCGTACAGGGCCCACGGGGGGGTCCGGGCCGTGTAATCCTGACGGACACAGAGAACGGGACGACGAAACCTCATTTTCACCGTCATGCCAGTATCACTCCACATCACCGGTTTAAGTTAACTCGAGTCAATAAAACCTCTAGACATTCCTTCTCGTGTTTCCCAACTCAATTCTGCTGCATTTAGCTCTGAAGGCACTAAAAAAAAAAGAAAATTTAACCCAATCGAAAGNTTCTCGTGTTTCCCAACTCAATTCTGCTGCATTTAGCTCTGAAGGCACTAAAAAAAAAAAAAAAAATTTAACTCAATCGAATGCCTCACGTTTCATTCTGATACGATTTTATTTCAATTGTAAAAAAAAAAAAGTAATTCCAAATGCATCGGATTCACGATGCAGCCAGACGGGCAGATGCCAAATGCAGCGACGAGGGCAAAAAACGCCCGATCGAGCCACGCATGGCCCTAGGGTAAAACACCGGTACTGCTAAAATGCCATCTTACGAGAGAGGTGAAGGACTTGGAACCCCCGGATTCGTAGTACTCCTCCACGAGGTCCTGGAACTTGTCGTAGTCGATCCACGTCTGCCACTCCCCGTTCGCTCGGAACTGCAACATCCGATGCACAGATCTCACGCTCTGGTCTCGTTCGAAAACAAAATCGATGCACCGAAATCCGCATCTTCGCGACTCGTTTCCTCAAGGAAGAAACGTCATCGTTTAGGCTCGCTTTAATTTCAGCTCAAGTAAAAACATTTTTCGGTGGTCATTACTCCGAAAGAAAAAGAGCTCATCCTTGCTCCCCTGGCGAAGTTAAGAAAAAAAAATTATTTTTTCACCCTTTCGTCAGATTTCAGCCAAGAAAATGCCTGTGGCATTTACATTGCCAACCGATCGATTTCGATTTTTAATAAAGGGAGCAGTCACTTCAATGACTCCTTCTCACAAATTCGCCGAGTCATTAACGACATCGACAAAGGCCCATTCGGATTTTTCCACGCAACTCCACCTTGCGATGCGCAAGCAGGACGCAGTTGGAGTGCTCGTGCTCGCAGGCGAAATCGTAGTCCTCGTCCAGGTGGCGCTGGAGGGCTTCGACGAACCGGACCACCTCTTCGTGCCAGGGGATGTGCTCCATCGTCAGGCCCCCCGTGGCGTTCTTCGACGTCCCGCAGTACGTCACGCCCTGGCGAGAGAACAAAGAAACATATCATCTACAACACAAATAAATGCAACTGGGAGTGGGACATCGGTCGAGAACCAGGATTCCCATCACCACAACCCTTTTGGGTCATCGAGCATGCAGGGATCGCAACAACGAAGGGCATGGATGTGGAGCATCCCACGACATGGACCTTCCCTCCCCCCAAGAGGCAAGGTACACGAACCGCTCGGTAACGTACGGTCACCGAGCGGTTAAGAAGACCCACCTTGATCTCGACGAAGTCGGGAGACCCGAGATTCACGAGTCGGGCGTAGGCCTCGATCTCCTCGTCGTTCCAGCCCTTGACCAGGGTGAGTCGGTAGACCGTCCTCTGACCCTTGTCCTTGAGGACCTCCAGGCACTCGAGGAATCGCTCCCAGAAGTCCCTGAACAGGGGTCGGTCGATGCTCTTCAGTCGCTCCTTCGTCGCCGCGTCCACGCTCACGTACAGCTGCGTCACCGGTGACAGCTCCCTGGATTCGGTTTTAACGGAGAGACAAAGTGAGTCCGTCTTTCTCGGTCCGGGGACTGGAATGCGCTCGGAAACCAATTTTATATATCATGATCATTCCAATGTTTCATATGGGTGGTGTTGGAACTTTCCCTCCCCACACCACAGCTTCAGTTGATGACATGACGAATTTCCACGAATGTTCATTTTTACTGATTTACTTCAAGTTCGCAATGGTTTGTCCATCCATTCGCAATATTTTAAAGAAGTTTTTCCATAACAAAGTTCACCATAAGGAATTGTACAGTTTTACTAATTCTTTTCCATCTGAAGGACGAAAACCGTGTTCGACTGAAACTTTGTTCAAAATGAAGACCGATCCCATTAACTCATCCACGAACGAGCCTAAAGACGAGAAAAGAAACCTCCACGGAACACCGAAAACACCCCACCTCATGGGCTGCGGAAACTGCGCATTGGTGACCAGGAAGGACGAGATCCGCCTCCGATGCAGGAGCCGCAGGAAAGCATCGATGTGCGGGTACATGATGGGCTCCCCGACCAGGGACAGCGCGCAGTGCTTCGCCGCCAGTCCCTCCTCCATCCGGTCCGCCTTCACGCCGGGCACCCCTGCTCGCATCCACATCCATCAAATCCCAATCGCTTATATTCAAATTAAGCTTGTGACTAGAGCTCCATAATTCAGGCATTTAAAAAATTACCACTTCTAGTGGAAATGTGACACTCCTTGCCAATGGGTCTAATTTTCAACAGTATTACAGCTCATCATTTAACAAATTAAGAAATAATCTAGCTGTAGACACCCAGAAGAGATATAAGTAGGTGAAACTTCATTATCCTAGAAAAGCAGACTCTAAGGACCAAGGCTCCTCATTCCATCAGACCAAATTCAGCATTGTCCCGATTCATCAAACTGTAAGAATGTTTTACTGCTTCAATACAAGTTCTGGGGCATTAGAAAAATGAATCTGCATACAAATTCATTCTGCAGACAATGTCTCCCAATATTTTTCACATTTTTTAATTAGTTCAAATATGAATAAACATCTGCTGATAAATTCAGCAAGTGATGCCTGAAGCCAACTTTAGGGTTTCCAGGAAAGAAAAATCTAGCATTGCCTGATGGTTGCTGAAGGATCTTTCTTTGTGCCTTTCAGTACCAGGCACAAAGGCAAACAGATGAAGAGACCTCTTTCTACCATCGCTGGCCAGAGTTTCACCAGCTTGCCATCGATTAGCCACATCTCCATGCAATCGTTATCTATCAGATATTTTCACACTACAAATTGATTACTTAAAACTGTAACGGTCGGAAGCGAGCAGACCTTTGAACTGCCGGATCAGGCCGTAGTGGTGCTGCAGCGCGTCGCTGAGGATGTCCTCGGGGTCGTCCGTCTTCCAGCGCCACTCGGTCCCGACGGGGTTCGAGTGGTGGCGCCAGCAGAAGTTTGCATCGTGTGAGAGTGCAAACGTAAATTTCAGACCCTGATCTCAATTGAAAAAATGCTGACATGTTCTACTATTCCATTTTTCACTTGCCACCAGATGGGGCTTTTTGCTTAAATTAGCAGTAATCTGTTGAACTTTACAGACACCTGACAGAATTTTCATCGCCACGAGTTGGAATACCTCTCCTTTCACGTGCCTGTACGTACGAGGGGTTGCCGAAACGTTCCGAGCCAAAGGCCCTTGCAGTTGCAATACGCCATTCTTACCCTTCTCATGGGAAGAAAGATGCCTTTGATGGCGACCATCGAAATGTTGCTTTATTTGTTAATTAAAGAAAGCTTTTAGGAATTTCTTTCAATACGCAAGCAAAAGGTTTTGTTGAAGGGTTAATACAATTTGGGATGAATGCTGTCATGAATTTCCTAGCCTCTATGTAGCTGATCTCCAAGCAGACCTTTCAGAAAAAAGGTCAGTAGGACTAATTCTCTCATCTGATTAATCACACGTTCCTCTCTTTCTTTTCATGGGTTGGTGAAGTACATCGACATTGGTAGCGAAAACCTGCCTATTGCCAGCAGTTCAGATGATGCCCTATCGGTAGCTGGTTTTAGTGGCTTCCAATACATAAGCACAACCCTTATGATGCCCTAATTTCAACTACACAGGAATTTCTCTTCAAAGCCAGCCCATAAACACAGAGCCAAGCAAACCTTGGTCCAGCGACACATCTTCACCCCAGAGTGGGTGCCAACCAGCCGGTAGCCCTGCTTGGTGAGTGCCTCCCTCAGTTCCGGGGTGATCATCTCCTTCACCCCGTTCTCCCCGTGACCCTCCGGCGTCGTTCGCTTCCCCATCGTCCGCTTCCCTTTCTTCGAGCTAAGTAGCTGCGACATGTAAGAGCCCAGGTCCTCCATGTCCATCACCTTCTCCCCTCCTCCCTTCTCATCCTTCCCTTCGTCCTCGTCCGACGAACACTCCGACGAGCAGCTCCCGCTCTGTGGATGTAGAAAATTTTTTTGTCATACCCACAAAGTCCAGATACAATGATATGCAGCTGATGAAAATGACTGAACACTAACATGAAATGATAACATGCAAATTTCACACTAATATACATATTAATGTCTGCTGATTTTCTTTGCATCAATGAATCCATAAATTAATATTAATTACAACTAATAATTAATTACAATTAAATATCTCCCATATTTTCCATGAATCATCATCTTAATCTACTCACACCAGTTCATACAAATCAATTATTGCTGGCACCTTTGAGGTGCCCAGAGCCTGAAACTAATGATCTTCTGGGTAGGATTGGGTAATGCAGCATCAAAAATGTACTCATCATGCTCATAAGTTCCCATGATGGCACCACTTTCAAATAAGATTCAAAGTGAGTATTATGAGCTGATTAACATTTAACTTACAAATCAAGCAGTCTGGAAATAACAGGGCTTCAAATTTCAACAATTAGCAAAAAAGCATTCAATACAATAACTTTTCCCATAAAGAGCTAAGGCAAGGATATTCACCACATAGGTCTGCTTTTGAAAAGAAATGCATTTTGTGACCAACATCAGATGCAAAACAGCTCCTACAAAATCACAGCAGACACCTGCCAAGGATACTCAAAGCTGATGGCTTTGAAAACCAAGAGCACTGTTTCCCACCTCGACCAACAACGACTAAGGACCTCCTCGCCCCAAGTCACTCGATATCTTTTCCCAACAACCACTGCTATGGAGGAAAGATTGAAAGAGACAAGGCGAGACAGCAGTTCTTGACATCTGCCAGCCAAACTGATTCCCAGGGATGCCTAAAACAATGCAAGGAAAAAATGCCTCCACCGTGTCCGAAACAACTGCACTCTGACAGCAATTGTGCACTTTGCAACAGAGTAGAGACCCTTCCCATGAAATCTCCCCAAAACCAACTGGTGGCAAAATTGCAAGACGACCGGTCCGCACGGGCTGCGTTCGCCCGTTCGATGGCGCGGCCCGACCTCACGTGCCGGAGTCGACCTGCTGGTACAGCTGACCCCAATCACTCGCTAAAAGTCACTGTTGCCATCAACTTCATCAGACATGCCAAAACTCAAACGAGGATGCACAGATGACCATAGATCTATGACAAAACAGACTTATTGCATGGAATTGTTCAATGCTGGACGTCAGAGCAACAGAGACATCTGCCCTCTGGATCAAGTACTACAGTTCCATGACGACAGAGGGCATAAATGCTCCCAGGATGTCTTGCCTTTCCAGAAAATACAACCGCTGAAATGCCCGCACCTCTGTTACAGCCTCACACTTCCATCCAAACAGACAAAACAAAAGCAGACCTGGTGGCCGTCGCCGCCCCCCTTGCCGTCTTTGCTCCCGCAGCCACATTGGTGCCCCGAGTCCTTCTTCTTCTTTTGGTTCCCGGCTTCATTGCTGCCGAAAAGGGCGGCCCGGACCCGTTTCTTCCACTCGGCAAAGTCCTCGTCCAAGCCTCCGTTCGCACTGGCCGTCCCGTCCTCGTCTCCCAGGGTCAGGGGAACGAAGTACTTGGCTCCCAGCTTCACCAGTGCCATATCCAGGTCCTTGGATGCCTGCAAGGAATCATCCCAGAAGCCAACCCACATAAAAATTTCATTTAAGACTATAATGCAATTCACATATGAACATATGTAAAATATATATGGAGTTGGACACAAGTCACATGAAACCAAATCCGAATGAAAACATATGCCCCCCATATATTTTCATACAATGCCTCACACAACAGCACCATATACTGTCCATATATGCCACCTCGTATCTATGTACGGTGAGATCACCTGAAATAGGCCTGCATCCCGAAGGGGTCCATAATCCATCAAATACTGTAATAATCATTCACATGCAAGTCATCAACCTTTATTTACATTTCTTGCAAATCTACTCATTCTTCATTGTTCACAGACCATGGTCAATCACTCCAAGGACTCGTGTTTCACGGCATTTAACGCGTGCACCCTCATCACCGAAGGGGAAAGTCTCGACATCATGGACCCTAATCTTCACAAACATCGGTGTTCATCAAACAGCAGCTATTCTGCGACAAAACTCGGCTTTCTCGTGCAGAAGCGTCTTCTTCGTTTCGATTGACGACTCACAAGATAGATGGGAGGAAAAAGACGTGGGAGACGAGTTCCTTCTTCAGTTTTTCTGACCTTGTGCCATGTTTTACATACGAGCATAAGACTTCTCCATGGATATTCAGTACACATCAGACATGATGCTATTAGCCCATTACACTCAATATTTTAAAGCAGGTAAAATATATTATATGCCGTGCAATTGATAATACATTAATGTGTATGGTCGTATATGGCAAATATATGATCGTGCATAGTCAGATACAATAGTACACTGTCATATGTGGAAATTTTACATGGGAAATTCAACATATTCATTTTGATGGAAACCTTCTTGATTTCAATTGTATCCTTCTTCTTGATGGGAATTTCGTTTTTAAAAACAAGATGAATGCCAAGATGAGTTTCACCTCTGAGGAACAATGTCAGGAAGTTCCCCAAGCATTGGGACTTGGATCAAGCATCAGGATTACGCAGCAGAAAATATATTATGCTGCATGTGCCATGAAAAGGCAGCTGTCCCTCTGCTTCTGAAACTTCACATCAAATGTCCTTATGGCCACTGAGAATCAAGGAAGAAGTTTGGAAAAAAAAACCTTGGACTCTGATGGAAAGTGAACCTGAGCCAATTCTTTAGCTTGTCTGATGCTTTTAACAATATTCTCATCACAGCCAACTCTCATATTGCCCCCAGGCACCCTGATAGTTCACACATTTGGACCGTGAAATTACCAACAAACAAAAACCACAGCCAAAGAATTCCTGGCAAAGAATCCTCACCTTGTTGAAGTCGGGTCCATAGGCAGAATTTCCGAGGCCGAAAGCAGCATACACCATCCCCTGCAGGAGGGTGTGATCCACCCGGAAGTCCTCGGCCGCATCCACCACCCACCGGTGGAACCACTCCGCAGACTCCGGAGGACCCCCGTCCGTGTGGGTCGACAGGAGGAACAGGAACGCCGTCCCCTCTGCCACCTACCGAGAAGACCGTCAGCGGCCAAACACGCACGAGATCCGCATCGCGAAACGATGATCCGCACCTCGTCGACGAGCCGATCCTCCGGGTCGAACCCCTTCATGCCGTGGATCTGGATGTCGAGACCCAAGCTCCCCAGGTACTCGTACAGCTCCTCGGCGAATCTCTGTGCCAACGAGGACAGATTGCAACCAATTGGAAATGTTCAATCATAATGATCATTATTTTCCATTCACAGAAAGCAATTTGAAGTATTGTATTAAATGGAGTGTTTGGGATTTTGTACCAAGTTCAGCCTTTATCAAACTATTTCTATGCCTTTAATCTCAGCTGCACCACCTCTGCACAATCAATCAGAGTATCAAGCATGGGAAAAAGATAGTAACAGCATCCAAATAAATAAACCATGGATAAAAAGCTGTTAACTAAAAGATCTCCACTCCAATAACTATAAAAAATCAGTCTAAGAAACAGATCAACAGGAGAAATAGCACTTGATAGGCAATTAAGTTACAAGATTACCTCTGCTTTGTGAAACAAAATGAAAACAACGAAGAGCATGCTCAAATGCGCAAGTGGCAATACACCAAATTACAAGGCAATATCACCAAAATGGACATTAAGATCAAGTACCTATTCAAATTCACAATGCACATTCAAATACAAAAGGGCAAAGAAGTTAACACACTGAAAGAAATGAAAAATACAGATGAAAAGATTTGTACATAGAGTACAGATTAATCCTGGACAAACCTGAGCAGTGCCTGTCTGAGACCCATACAGCAGCAGCACTCGCTGGATGCTGGGGAGGACCTTCACCAGGTTCTCATCCTTCTTGCTGCAGCAAGTGCCTCCATCTGAGCAGCAAGATTTCTTGGCCTTCTTCACCTTTGACTTGCCCTGTTCTTGTCCTAGGGGAGCCTCTACTTTTTCTGTGGGAGCCTCTACTTTTCCAGTGGGAGACTCTGCTAGTCCTGTGGGAGGCTCTGCTTTCTCAAACGACTCACTGGCACTTTTGCCGACCGATTTGTCGGAGTTGAGGAACATCCAGATCACAAACAGCACGAGGAGACCGAAGAGGGCTCCTGTGAAGCCACTCACAGCTGGAAGGCCCAAAAAGGCCCACATCTCACAACCTGCAAAAACTGGAAGGAAAAAGAATTTATTCATGACTAGAAGCACACTCATGACTAGAAACACCAAGACTAGACAAGATTTTCAAGATGAAAAATCTAAGTGGTAGTCCTCCTGCTTGTGCTCGTTACGTGCAACGAATTGCCGCCGACCCTCCAGATAGAGCATGGACTCATGATATGCCTTTGGAAGCATTCTGTCCACCTCTTTTGGTACGACAAACGTGAAATGGAACACGTTCGTCTCCTCCTTTTGACCATCGACTGGATTCATCACCTCCGCACTCACCCGCACCTGTAGGTGACACCCCTCGGTGAATACGACTTGGGATGCCATGTACAACAGGGATCCAACCTCCACTGGGCGACGAAACCAAATGTCATCTATGAACTCGATCGTGGGCGCCTGTCGGCTGACAACATATGCGTTGGCCCATGCCAGTTCGAACGCCTGGCGCATGATGAACCCGCCAAAGATCTTGCCGAAACGGTTGCGGAACTCTGCGTGACAGATGATGACGTTCTTCAGCTTGGCATCCTCCATCCACATGTGCCCTGGAGGTTTAACACGGGACTGGAAGGTGTGCCTCAATGGATCGAGTGTGGAAAGGAAAAGGTCATGAATGATGATGCGCTCCTGCTCATTTGGAGGCTTCCTAAGCAGAGATTCTTCTCTGGTGTTCTTGCGCCTCAAGGCATTGGCCTCGCCTTGTTTGTACAGTAGAATTTCGCTGTCACTTCCAAGTTTGAGTGGGTTTGCAGGAACACTCCGGTCTCTGATGGCATCGCGCAGCACCATCACAAATAGAGCACGGGTGATCAAGTTCCATGGTTGCCCCTCCTGTCCCCACTGGTGCAAAGCAAGGCTCACCTCAACAGAAGACTTGCCGACCCAGCTCACGTGCCCACTCAGTCTCAGATCTCTGTCTGGGGAAACCTTCCCTTTGATGAAGCTGATTTCGTCCACCAAAGCAGTGACGATGGTGTACGGAAGGGGCTGAGACTCGTCCACCTTTGGGTTGAGGAGGTGGTGGAGGGTGACCCACGCGGCAAAGACGTCCATGTCCTCCAGGAGCCGACCGATGCGCACCCCTCCCACCTTGGTCAGATACCGGGGATGGAGGTCCTTGTTCGAGCCAAGTGGGAGGACCACCTCACAGAACGAGTCCTGCATCCTTCGCTCTGGGAGCTCTGCCTGCGTCAGGGGGATCTGCGTCGGATCCAGCATGGCCTTGTCCGAGTGCGGCACAAGGTAGCTCCCGATTCTCTTCAGCATCTCCTCCATGGTCAGACTCGTGTTCGTGCTCATCCGACGAGCCAGATGCTGACCCCTCAGCTGCAGAGCTTTCATGAGATTCATTCCAAGTTGGTTGTCTCTTGTGGCTTTTTCCAAATGTCCATGAAAAGCACTTTCAATGGTATTAAGCAAGTTGGATTCAACTCAAGCCAGTATGGAGTTTAATCACAAGGCATTTATAGGATTTCTTAATTGTTATCATCTCCAGAGACTTTAAATTTCTTTCATTGCATACAGAAAAACAAATTTCTGGAACACAAGCACCAGATGGTGAGGCAAAGCTGCTACCTGTTACATGAATAAGCAATTCAGCAAGGAGATCAGAGTGCTAAAGACCTTGGAAACCAAGTGAAAGTCTCATCTTTAAAGCATATTTTCATGCCAATTCCTGGACTTACAATAAAAGCAACCTTTTGAGTGCAAGTCCACACACACCACATGCAAATGCCTCAAGGGCATGATCAGATATCATTTCTCTTCGCATCATACTAGCAAAGAAATCAAAATTTATTTTAAAATTTGATATTTGCAGGGCAATCCAAGGAGAGCCCTAATATAACACTTCTCCCCCCAAAAAAATTTACTTGCAATTTCCTCATTGCCCCAGAGGATATTCACATCGGCTCTCAAGAAGATACGGAATACAAATGCCCTTAAAGGACAATGATTTCTTCCTCACCCATATATACAATGGGAGGAAAAAAAAACAGGTCTCATTGTCCAATATGGCCATTTATGGATTCCAAGAGAGGAAGGATTCTTAATTTGACCAACAGTCCAAATCTTAATTGGGCCAACAGTCCAAATCTTAATTGGGCCAACTGTCCAAGTTTTAAATTGGCCATCACATAAATAGGCCAACAGTTCAAACAATCTTCATTCAGATGCACAATGGGACTCACCAATGCCATCTATCCCATACAAAGTTGTGTGTCGTGCGTGTCACTGGCCTGGAAACCAGGCCGGGGGACCCAATGTCCCTCGACATGCGAGCCATTTATGAATGGGTGCTTGTTTTTGGGGTTTCTTTGTTTTATGCGTCAAATTTGCCGATCCTGCTGTATAAAATTTGAAATTCCTTCACCGATCAGCAGCCACAGAGTGAAAGGGATTTCCAAAGATAATAAAACATGTTCTTCATTCTCATCAAGTCCCATGGAAATGCTGCAGATTCCTTGCAAACGACCACAAATTTTCATTACAAGATTTTATTTTTTAAGAATATCAGCTACCATGGAGATTGAGATGTGGGGTGCTCCATAACTAAAGCAGCTTGGACAATGATGAATACTCAATATAACATGGATGTCAGTGAAACAAATTCCAATATGGCCATTGGTTTTTTAACCATATGACAAAAAATCTCAAGTAACAAAATTCAATGTGACGAAATTATATCAAAACCATCAATTTTAGAGAATTGGTCAGGAGATGAATTTTAAGCTTAAGAGAGGGTGATCAGGTGAAATGACTCATGCCCAGCAACCCACAGTATGAAAATCCACCAGAGCTCACATATCACAGCAAAAGAGCCTAGGATGGCTCATCACAGGAAAAATTTTCACCTAAAAAAATATTTTATTATGGAATGAAATCATGAAATGTAAACCTACTAGATCACAAGAGTGAGCTTGGAGTGGCTTAGAGAGCATACAAGCCACAATATTCCTCCTCTTGACGGTCGCTGCGGGACACAAAATGCCGCCGGCCTTCCAGGTACAGCATGGACTCATGATATGCCTTGGGCAGCATTTGGTCCACCTCTTTGGACACGACAAAGGTGAAATGGAAGGTGTTGGTCTCCTGCTGCTCACCTGACTCCGGATCCACCACCTGGGCGCACACCCGCACCTGCATACAGCAGCCCTCAGTGAATACGACTTGGGATGCCATGTACAACAAGGACCCGACCTCCACTGGGCGACGAAACCATATGTCGTCGATGAACTCGATCGTGGGTGCCTGTCGACTGACAACATACGCATTGGCCCAAGCCAGTTCGAACGCCTGGCGCATGATGAACCCGCCAAAGATCTTGCCCAGTTGGTTGCGGTCTTCCAGATGGCAGATGACGACCTTCTTCAGTTTGGCATCCTCCATCCAGATGTAACCGGGAGGTCTCACGCGGGACTGGAAAGTGTGCTTCTCCGAGTTTAACGTTTGGAGGAAGAGGTCGTGGATGATGAAGCGTTCCTGTTCTGTCGGAGGCTTTCGTAGCAGCGACTCTTCTGTATCAGTCATGCGTCTCACGGCATTGTTTTTGCCTTGGTTGTACAGCTTCAGTTCCAAGTCACTTGCCAGTCTCAGAGGGTTTGCAGGAACGGGCCGGTCCCGAATGACATCGCGCAGCACCATCACAAACAATGCATGGGTGATCAAGTTCCAAGGGTAAGGCTTCTCTCCAAATTGGTGCAAAGCGAGACTGACCTCGAGTGACGACTTGCCGACATAGCTGACATGCCCACTCAGTCTCAAATCCCTGTCTGGGGAGATCCTCCCTTTGACAAACCTGATTTGGTCCACAAGTGCCGTGACCAGACTGTATGGGAGAGGTCGAGTCTCGATCGCCTTCATGTCAAGGAGATGGTGGAGGGCAACCCAGCCAGCAAAGACATCCATGTCCTCCAGGAGCCGACCGATGCGCACCCCTCCCGCCTTGGTCAGATACCGGGGATGGAGGTCCTTGTTCGAGCCGAGTGGGAGGACCACCTCACAGAACGAGTCCTGCATCCTTCGCTCTGGGAGCTCTGCCTGCGTCTGAGGGATCTGCTTCGGATCCAGCATGGCCTTGTCCGAGTGCGGCACAAGGTAGCTCCTGATCCTCTTTAGCATCTCCTCCATGGTCAGACTCGAGCTTGTGCCCGCCCGATGAGCCAGGCGCTGACCCCTTGGCCACAGAGCTTTCAAGAGATTCATTCCAAGCTGGTTGTCTCTTGTGGCTTCTTCAATCGTCCAAAAAGAGCACTTTCAATGGTAGAAAGCAAGTTGAATTCAACTGAAAACCAGAATGGAGTTTAACCACAAGGCATTTCCAAGATTCCTTAATTGCTATCATCTCAAGAGACATTAAATTTCTTTCATGGAATACAGAAAAACAAATTCTTGGAACCCAAGCACCACATGACAAGGCAAAAATGCTGCTGCCTGTTACACAAATAAGCTATTCCACTAAGAAATCAGAGGGCTGAAGACCTTGGAAACCAATTGAAAGTTTCATCTGTGAAACATATTTTCATGCCAATTCCTAGATTTACAATGAAAGCAACCTTTTGAGTGCAAGTCCACACACACCACATGCAAATGCCTCAAGGTCATGAACAGATATAATTTCTCTTCACATCATACAAGCAAAGAAATCAACATTCATTTCAGAATTTGCTACTTGCAGGGCAATCCATGGAGTGCCCTAATACAACACTTCTCCCCCATAAAAAAAATTTTTGTCGCTCATTGCCCCAGAGGATATTAACACCCAAGAAGATTTGGAATTTGAATGTACTCAAAGGACAAGGATTCTTTCCTCACCCCAATATACAATGCGAGGGAAAAAACAAGCCACATTGCTCAATATGGCCATTTTATGGAATCCAAGCAAGGAAAGAATCTTAACTTGGTCAACAGTCCATTTTTTAACTTGGCCATCACAACAAACAATCTGGCCATCACAACAAACAATCTTGACTCAGATGCACAATGGGACTCACCAATGCCATCTATCCCATAAAAACCTGTGTGTCAGGTGTGTCACTGGCCTGGAAACCAGGCCGGGGGACCCAGTGCCCCTCGACATGTGGGTAGTTTGCGAATGGGTGCTTGTTTTCATGGTTTCATTGTTTTATCTGCATCACATTTGCTGAACCTGCAGTCCAAAAGCTGAAATTCCTTCACCGATCAGCAGCTACAGAGAGAAAGGAATTTCTGAAGATTCTGAAACATGTTCTTCATTCTCATCAAGTCCCTTGAAAATGTTGCAGATTCCTCACAAGGCAACCTTGCATTCCCATCATAAAAGTTCATTTTTATGAACATTAGCAACCGTGGAAATCGAGATGTGGGGTTCTCCTCAACTGAAGCAGCTTTGACAATGATGAATACTCAATATAACATGGATACAGGGTCAGTGAGACAAATTCCATGACTGGCTTTGGCTTTTCAACCAAATGACACACCTACATCGAGTTGCAAAATTCCATGGGACAAAAATATATCAAAACCATCAATTTTAGAAGATTGGCTGACAAGATGAATTTCAAGCTCAAGGAGAGGGGGACTGGGTGAAATGACTTAAGTCTAGCCACCCGCAGTAAGAAAATCCACCAGAGCTATCACAGCAAAAGAGCCCACATATCACTATAGAGTCATTCCGTGTCAAATCAATGCACTTTTGGACATTTTTCAGGTGACCCTCCTCAGATTTGGATAAAATTTGCATACCTATCAATAATGGTGAGAAACTATTTCACACAAAATATTGGGTTCATTAGACCCTTGGTTCCTTTGGTATGAGGTCACAAAATTTGCAGCTGAAATGCCTTCTTTCGTACCCTGATATCGTCTTCTCCTTGAAACTCTGGTCCTGATTGAGCTAGAGGAGCTCATCTTATGCTCATTTTTTAGTTGTTTTCCAGTTCTTTCCATTGGTATTGATACATTTTGATGAATGCTAAAAGTTGCCATTCGGTAAGGAGGTCATGTTGATGACCTTTGACCTCACATTGTCAAAAACAACCCTCTTGAACTTTGACGAAAATTGGATACATGGTAGGCAAGACATATGGCTACCTCTACATCAAATTTTAACTCGGGCGCTTGGCAATTTGTGAAGATATTGTGCTCATCATGCAGAACAGTTTCTAAGAACCTTTGAAATAAGAGAAAAAATCCTGCTTTGACCCTTTTGGCATTCCCACTGGCCAGTCAAGGAAGAGAAACCCAAGAACGATCGATGTAGAAACCTGCGATCAGTACTCAGTATTGCGATCAGTACTTACTCTCCTCGTTCCAGGAAAAAAAATTGTGTACTAGCTGCAGGAAGATCCTTCCTGAAAAGCTCAGAGAAAGCCAGAAGTGCCTTGCAGCATCTTCATCCTCAACATCATCGGTGGCAACACCTGAGGCCATGGAAGATCTTTCAACCAGGGCCATCAACTCAAGTGCCTCAATGAATCTCTGCAGCTGATGGGAGAAACACCAGTGAAAGGTGAGAAAATGGCCCAGAAGAAATACCCTAAAGAAAAGAGAAGGAAGATAGCAGAAACTGTGAAGATTGTGGAAGTGACATCAGCTCTGAATAGCCGAACTGTAGCCAAACTGCAGAGTTTCTCGAAATTATGAATCGATTGAAAGAAAAATTACAGGCAGCAGAAAAGAAGAGGGAAAAAATTCAAATCTTCACCATGACTCCAAGAAGCTGGAGTGTGAGGAAGCTGGAGCAAGAATTTGAAATATCAAATTTCATGGCAAGGAGCGTGAAGAAATCGGTCATGGAGAAGGGGATTCTTGCAACTCCCAACCCAAAACCAGGGAAGACCCATCCAATGCATGATGCTAATATTGTCCAGGACTTCGTCTCTGTGAAGGAAAGAGACGGGAGGCAGCAGAAGCAGAAGGAGACTTTTCCTTGGAAATTTGAAAGAGATCTATGAGACATTCAAAGAACCCACAACTCAAGATGGGCTTTTCCAAATTTGCTGAGTCCTAAGAATTGTGTGCTGGCTGGAGCCAGTGGTACTCATGCTGTATGTGTTTCTATGATTCACCAGAATGTGAAAATAATGGTACACACTGTAAACTTCTCTCAGCAAGCAACACTTTCCAAATAAAGACCATACCGTGATATCCTCTCCTTAATGACATGCATTCCTGCCTCTGATGAATGTTATCTGAATCAGTGTCTCATTTGTCCTGGTATAGCAGGAAGCAAAGCTCAGCTCCAAAAAGACTTTGATGACAGAATGATGGGACTCCTTCACCTTCAAGCAATGTCAACAGATAGATCTACTCTGGACACGATGGTGAGAAGCACCGAGGAGTTTCTGGATTACTTCCTCAAAAAGATCATCATCATGAGAAAACATGATTTCATTGCCCAGCAGCAATTTTCATTTCTTCAGGAGACAGAGGAAAACCTTGCCGGGGTGAAATCATCGTTATTCTGGATTTTACAGAGAATTACTCCTTTGTTCTTCAAGATGCTGCACAAGGATACAATTGGAATAAATAATCAGGCTACAATTCATCCTTTTGTTTGCCATCTTAAGAAGCCTTACATAGACGCAAACGATGGAAACGAACTGCAACACTTGAGCTTTGTCCTCATATCCAACACTCTTGATACATGACACAGTTGCAGTTTATACCTTCCAGAAAATTACCTATTTTTCTGATGGTGCAGCTAGCCAGTATGAAAATAAAAAGAATTTCTGCAACCTCTGCTTTCAAGAGGTTGACTTTGCAATTCTGGCAGAGTGGTACTTTTTTGCCACATCACATGGCAAAACCATGTGATGGCGTGGGTGGCACAGTCAAAAGATTAGCTGCAAGAGTGAGCTTCCAAAGACCATATGATCTACAAATTTGGACCCCCCAAGATCTCTTCTTGTGGGCCAAAGAGAATCTGAGAACCATAAGGTTTCAGTTTGTCCCCGAGACAGGGATTAAAGAAGTGCAGAAGAAGCTCCAAAGACGGCTTGCAGCCATACGGCCAATTCCTGGAACACAGAGCCTTCATTATTACATTCCTCTATCTTCTGCCATCACCCGAGTGAAACGATTTTCAAAGTCAGGCACATTTACAGATGTCAAGTTCAACACTCCAATGGAGATGTCATATTCGAGCATCAGAGGGTTTGTGACGTGAATACGGTGGACATTGGCACCTTGCACATGGTCTTGCAAAATTTGAAGACGATGAGGAAATACTCGTTTGTTTCCTAAATCCATATGGTCCAGCCCCTTCATTTTCCTATCCTCACAAATCTGATGAACTTACAGCACATCATAGTCAAATCCTTTCACTCGTGAATCACTCGACAGAGACAGGACGAACGTACAAACTGTCCAACGAAGAGATGGTGGAAGCATCAGCAAGAAATAGAGGGAATGTACCATTAAGATCTTTTGCCTTGGTTCTGTGATTGGCATATTGATTTCTTTTCATTGTGTTCCATTACCTGTAGTGCATTCAACTAGAAGGCATTAATGAATGCAAGAATGTTAATGTAGCAATCAGTAACTTCACTTGTTATTCTGGAACTTCTGGAGAGCCAAAAGTAAAATATAACACAGAGGTAGCCATATGTCTTGCCTACACACAAGCCAAATTTTTTTCAAAATCTGATATGGTTGTTTTTAGTAATGCGAGATCAAAGGTCATTACCATGAACTCTTCACTAAAAGCTAGCATTTAGCATTTAGTCAAAAACTAGACAATCTCTGAAAACGACATGAAAAGAGCTTTCAAACAATCCCAAGAAGAAATCTCTAGCACAATTAGGGCAGCAGTTATGAAGAGAAGACTGTCTCAGGATGCAACCAGAAGGCATTTGAGCCCAAATTTTCATGACCTCATATATGAGGAACAAGAAGTCATGTGAACCCAATAATTACTGTGAATCACTTTCTAATAGGTACAAATAAGTCTGCCAAATTTCATTCAAATCTGAGAAAGTCACCTTCAACACCGTGTTGATTTGACATGGAATGACCCATAAGAGAAAAATGTTCACCTTAAAAAATTCCTTCTTATGGAATAAAAGCATGAAATGTAAACATACTAGATCACGAGAGTGACCTTGGAGTGGCTTAGGGTACATCCAAGCCACAGTATTCCTCCTCTTGACGGTCGCTGCGGGACACAAAATGCCGCCGGCCCTCCAGGTACAGCATGGACTCGTGATATGCCCTGGGCAGCATTTGGTCCACCTCCTTGGACACGACAAAGGTGAAATAGAAGGTGTTGGTCTCCTCCTGCTTGCCAGACTCAGGATCGACCACCTGGGCGCAGACCCGCACCTGCATGCGGTGGCCCTCGGTGAATACGACTTGGGATGCCATGTACAACAACGATCCGACCTCCACAGGGCGACGAAACCAAATGTTGTCGATGAACTCGATCGTGGGTGCCTGTCGGCAGACAACGTATGCATTGGACCAAGCCAGTTCGAACGCCTGGCGCATGATGAACCCGCTGAAGATCTTGCCCATCTGGTTTCGGTCTTCCAGGTGACAGATGACGACCTTCTTCAGCTTGGCATCTTCCATCCAGATGTAACCGGGAGGTCTCACGCGGGACTGGAAGGTGTGTTTCTCTGGGTTCAACGTGCGGAGGAAGAGGTCGTGGATGATGAAGTGTTCCTGTTCTGTCGGAGGCTTTCGGAGCAGCGACTCTTCTGTGTCGGTCATGCGTCTCAAGGCATTGTTCTTGCCTTGGTTGTACAGCTTCAGTTCCAAGTCACTTGCCGGTTTCAGAGGATTCGCCGGAACGGCCCGGTCCAGAACGGCATCACGCAGCACCATCACGAACCATGCATGAGTGATCAAGTTCCAAGGGTGAGGCTTTTCTCCAAATTGGTGCAAAGCGAGACTGACCTCAAGCGACGACTTGCCAACATAGCTGACGTGCCCACTCAGTCTCAGATCCCTGTCTGGAGAGATCCTCCCATGGACGAACCTGATCTGGTCCACGAGTGCCGTGACCAGATTGTATGGGAGTGGCCGGGTCTTGATCGCCTTCATGTCGAGGAGGTGATGGAGGCCAACCCAGACGGCAAAGATATCCATGTCCTCCAGGAGCCGACCGATGCGCACCCAGCCGATCGGGGACAGATAACGCTTGTGGAGGTCCGGGTTCGAGCCGAACGGAACGATGACCTCGCAGAACGAGTCCCGCATGCTCCGTTTGGGGAGGGCCTCCTGAGATCGTGGAACCTGAGAGGGGTCGAGCACCACCTTCTCCGTAACAGGGACGAGGAACTTCGGGATCTTTTTCAGCATTTCCTCCATCGTCAGGTACTCTCTCGACTGCGCGTGCACCTGTCGTACCAGGTGCAGATTCCTGTGCAGCAGCTTGAGGATTGTCATGGTCCTCAGCTCTTCTGTGTGTTCCGACACTCCAACATTCAAAAAGGAGCCACACACTTTGCAGAATCATGCAGGAGCGAAGCAGCAAGCAGGAACTTTTAACATGCAGTTTCTCGTGCCACATTCTTGAGAATCAGCAATACTTAAAAATTCTGATTAAATAATTGACTGACAAGCTTCTCACATCACTGACTTCATAAAATATATGAAGATATTACTGCACGCATTTCAATGACCTACGGGAAAATGCCAAACTTGAAGGCTAAAAAACATTTGTCTTGTTTCTCTCATTCAAACAAGCACATTACAATGTATTATTCTCATCAACTGTTAAAAGCAAGCATTCAGAAGCAAATCTTATTGCCATCATGCTTCCAATATGAAGACTGTGTTTCATGTGTCACTGGCCTGGAAACCAGGCCGGGGGGAAGCACTGCCCTTGACACAGTTCAGCAGAAGAATTCCCATTGAAAATGCGATGTTACATATGGTGTCGATCGTGCAGGGCGACATCACCCACAGACAGGAAGACACAGGGTCTACATCACTGCTTTATTCTTTGAACAGGGGCGACTCACATCACGGAGAAAATGAGAGACCCGTGCGAACACGAGAGGAAGCCTTTATTGCAACGCGGGGTCATCCCGGTCGGCTCCGTCACGTACTAAAAAACGCCGGCCGGGAACTCGCCGTCCTCGACTAAACGTCTTCCCTACCTCCCCTCGCTCCCCCCTACATCGAGGTTCGCTGATATGACAGAGGTCCTATATTGCACCTGTCGAGTGTCATGGAAGGCCATCTGGACGTTCGGGCCCAGCCATCGCAGAGAACGATTGCAAGAAAAGTTCTTGGAGCAACTACGACTGACTAGACGTCTGAGCGACACGGGTTGACATTGCACAAAAGTTCCCGATAATATCGTGAGAGACGTTTCGCAATCGGCGGTTCGACTGACGCCAGAAGCTCGTGAGGTAAGCTAGGATAAGACTTGCTGGCACTACATCCTTCGGTGCGTTCCATAACGGCAACATGCCTCTCTAAACAACAACTCAACAAAATCCTGAGACCAAAAAAAAATCAATGCCCTTTCCTTCTGAGAACTCCATCGAACAACAAATTTGAAAATGGCACATTTCTGCTTTGCAAAATATCCTTGATGAGGTAAATCTCAGTAATGCACAATTCTATGATGGCCAACACAATCATAAAACCATGATCAAAAACTTCACACACAATCACGAAAAATCATCGATGACTACAATATGAAAAACTAATATCAAAGGTGACTTGAATGAGTATTCAACTAATGCAAAAAACAAGCAAAAAAATAATTGGTCTGATGGCTGGGTCCGAACGCCTCGAGAAGAATTTTGATCATGTAGCAAAAAATCTCTCCTACAAAAACGAAATGGCTTCTTTTGCTCGAAAAAACATGGCAGTGCTGCCACTGGATAGCACACAAGAGATTCACAATCGCCCGCAATGAACTTCCATCACACTCTACGGACCCGACGAAGCACGCATTCGCCCATCACGACTGCCAGAGGATGGGAAGCTAGGGGAATATTGCACTAAGTGTAATTCTAATACTTTTTTTTCCCTTCACATGACTACCACCAAACTACCC